CATCTTACCCCTCCCAGTTGTTGCGTACACGAATGCCACTTCTATTTCAGCTACATATACGCATCTACCAACAACCCTACACCTCGTTTCGCCAAATTCAAATACAACCAGTCTAATCACCACCTACAAGTCTGAACACACACCTACCAATTACAAAGTAAAAGGTTTATAACTTCGATGACCAGACATAGCTTATAATAAATTCACTTCCATACATACGATTGCCCAACTGATCGACCATCCGTTCCTCGACACACTGTGGTCAACTGACTCCATGAAACATAGGCACTTCCAACAATTGAGTAAACGCTGATTGCATTTCACCAACCTACATATCCCAATGTAGAATACTATGTGAAACACGTGCATTGTTATCCCTACTTATTTTACAACTCGTCTGTTGTTGGGCAAGGCAGTAAATAACTAACTAGTAATTAGAGACCGGTCACATTAATCAAATAAACACTTACCATCTCACAAGAAATCATCCCACTTAACTGGGTCGTTAGTCAACTTCTCGAGCAAATGCACCTACAGACCAAAAGCACGAGTCGCCTGCCTTCAACAACACTCGACCTGGCAGTTGCCGATAAGCACTTCCAAGTGTGTTGTGATGCATATCGGTCATCAAGGTACAGATACATACACGACGAATAACACCTGCCATCCAAACATATAATCACTTAAGAGTCATCGTTAGCCAAAACTTAAAGACTACTGCACACTGCCGCGCAATAGCCGCCAAAGGTCTTAGAACGTTATGGTCAATACGTAGGGCTTTTAGTCATGTCGACGCTAAGACGTTTTCGACTTTGTAAAAGTGTTCGTACGTCCTAAACTTGAGTACTCCATACAAGCGGCCAGCCCCTGCTTAAAAAAACAGTGAGCTTCTGGAAAAGGTCCAGAGAACGGCGATTAAGCTGATTCCCGGAATACCGAAGCTTCCGTATGAAGCCCGATTGGCCAAGCTGAACCTAGTCACCTAGTCACACAAACTACTCACTCGGTCTTCTTGACGCGCACGCAACAACGCTCCACAACTACGCCGGTCTAATAAACTAGGAACAGACGACGTGCCACCTAAATCGCAACCAATAGTCCTGAGCTACAAACGCCACGTCGCACACATACGGATTCGCAACACTCAACTTAACAAGCGGGACAAGATAGAGAGCGATCACTATCCTACACTGAGCAACCAGACACTAGACAACGATATTCACTATTCGCCAGTAACGAAACCCTGACCCTGTATCAAACAACCAACAACTAATAAAAATCAAAAGTCAAAATTCATTACAGATAAAACCTAAATTCATTCAAGTAACAAATAATTAATCACAACAATTACAGGTTAGTCGACCTCCTCAATCGTTGGTCCCTTACCACTTCCACCACCAGCACCACCTGTTTCATGCATGCCTCCTGGCATACCACCAGCCTGGTACACCTTCGTAATTATCGGCGCACAGACCTTCTCCAACTCCTCCCGCTTACTCTCATACTCATGCTTCTCCGCCATTTGATTAACGTCCAACCAACCAATTGTATCCTCACACTTACTTAATACCACTTGACGATCACTTTCAGATATCTTTTCTTTAAGCTCACCCTCCACTTGCTGTTTCATTGTGTACACATAACTCTCAAGCGAGTTCTTCGCAGAAACACGATCTCTCTGCTTCTCATCCTCAGCCTTGTACTTGTCCGCATCGGCTACCATTCGTTCAATCTCCTCCTTCGTCAAACGGCCCTTGTCATTTGTAATCGTTATCTTGTTCTGCTTCCCTGTACCCTTGTCAACAGCAGATACGTTCAGAATACCGTTCGCGTCTATATCAAACGTCACCTCAATCTGGGGAGTACCACGAGGAGCAGGTGGGATACCTGAGAGTTCGAACTTGCCAAGCAGATTGTTGTCCTTCGTCAGAGCACGCTCACCCTCGAACACCTGGATAAGCACACCAGGCTGGTTGTCCGAGTACGTCGTGAACGTTTGAGTCTGCTTCGTCGGGATTGTCGTATTACGCTTAATCAGAGCCGTCATTACACCACCAGCCGTTTCAAGACCCAGTGACAATGGAGCCACGTCAAGCAACAGCAAGTCTTGCACAGCCTCACACTTGTCACCACTTAGAATAGCTGCCTGCACAGCTGCACCATAAGCCACAGCTTCATCCGGATTAATAGATTTGTTCAACTCCTTCCCGTTGAAGAAGTCCTGCAACAACTTTTGTACCTTAGGGATACGAGTGGAACCACCAACCAACACTATTTCGTGAATCTGGGCCTTATCCATCTTAGCATCTCGCAAAGCCTTCTCAACAGGACCCAATGTACCACGGAATAGATCGGCATTCAACTCCTCAAATCGTGCACGAGTAATCGACGTGTAAAAATCAATACCATCACACAACGAGTCAATCTCCAGATTCGTTTGGGTGCTCGAACTCAATGTACGTTTCGCGCGTTTTCATGCTCTGCTTAGATAACTGCATATAATTATAAGGAATGTAGTTGATATAGAAATGTTGTTCATAGATTATGTAATATTTGGAAGTTTAGAATTGTTAATTTGTTTTGTATGTATTGTTTTGAGTAATATGCTACACATTTGCTTAGTTTTTCTGCGGATAAACTAATATTCAGATAGGTGTAATTACCAAGGTTTTATTTGATAATTTTGAATAAATTGAACATTGGGTTGATTGTTATAAATAAAAATAATGTGTTTGTAATATCCCAATGAGTAGAGAATTGGATTTTCTGACGTTTCGTGACTTAGTGTAAGTCACTTCTTCAGAGAATAAATAATCAAATTAAAAGTAATCCTAGTTTAGATAGTACAACGGAACAATGCAAGAATAATATTTGATCAATCATAAACAGGTCTGAACAACAACAAACGTCAGAAAACCCAATTTTCTACTCATTGGGATATTACAAATATATTAGTTTAATTTATAATATTTAGATAATTTGACTTTTGCTTAATGAACAGTTAATTTATCAATCTGCCGATAGGAAACGTCATAGATTCGAAGCTTGATCCATTTATTTGGGTTTGAGAATCCGGTTTTATAACTAGCTCTATGGCAACGTTTATTCCTAAGAGTTCATTAACCAGTTTTTATATCCCGATAAGCATAATAAATGGTAACATTTGGGATCCATTTATGGACCAATACTATACGCATATTTTTATCGTATAACAGTTGAGCAGCAGGGACGTATCTTTTCGGTGACGCCTTCAATCTCCAGTCGATCCTTCTTGAAATATCACCTTCCTTGATTAGAAGGTGGATGAAGACAGGTTTATTTACGATAGATGGTTGTTAATCATCCTTGGAATCTTCTTTTCCGTAGTTCATACTAAATTTCCTTGGGTATCCATTTTTTATAAGATGCTTTTCCAGAATAGCCAAGTCCTCATTTATTTTTCCGTTTAAGCATAACATTTTAGCTCTATCGAAGAGCGTTTTTTACTAGAAAACTTTTGTAACTGATAGGGCCAAAGATGTCAAATACTGTCCTATCCATGGTTTTTTTCTATATATACTTTCCTTAAAACTTCCATCATTTTTCCGTCTTACACTTAAAAATTGTGTTGGTCCTCTTTCATATTCCATCGTAAACGTTATGTTGAGATGAGAGTTGTTAAAGTAACTGAGTAACCTAGAAGCCTTTTTCTGCCATGGTGATCTGACATGTGTCCAATAACGTTTGTTAATTTTTTTAACTACGTCTCCAACACTAACTATGTTTATTCATACACTTTGTGTACCTATTCTTCTTATTATGAGTTCGAATACATTGCGAGAATTTATCTAAACTTCACAAACTAAAGTACGCTAAACATTTATTAATAATTATATTTATATTAGTAATTGTAATTTTAGGTTGTATGCAACTGATGAGAAACCGTGAAGTGAAATGGATTCATTTAATCTCGCAAACCTCGTTGTTCTCGCTGTTTAAATTTTTGAGAACAAACAATAAACAAGCATTATGATTGCGTTACATTAGATGGTTAATACTATGAGTAAATTATTCGTGCGTGAACTCAGCTTAGATGAATGACTGCCACAAAACGCTATATTGTGCATACAAGAATGAAAGACATATACACAATTGGAAACGAATCACGTGGAACATATTCAATAAATGGCCTTTTTACCAGTTCTTTTTTACTTGCCATCGTATTCAGTTGGTTCAAGCAGGAACAATGAGTATTGAGTGCTTGATTATAAACCCCTTAAGTTCTGAACCTTATTCGGTAAGATTTTGAACAGTACAGCAATACACTTCCTTAAATGTAATATGCAAGAACTATCATGATGTACGATGTGAACACTATTATTTTCACATTAAAATGCTTCAGTATACAAAATATCCTCATTACTAAGCAAGGTAATAAGAAAATAATTATCTTCTAAACTCCTCATTTTAATTTAGCCAAGACGATTAGGTTGAAAAAATTAGACTGGAACAATGCTAGATATATATAGATTTAATAGTAATAATTTCCCACAATTTTTATTCAAACATGATACAGTAAGACGATAAAATAAATGAAGCTTAATGATTTCTTCTAATATACTTGCAAAATTAACCCTAAAATGAATGAGAACTGGTAGCCTGACTAAATGGAAAAATAGCCGTCATAAATTCAAACAATGGTATCAGTGTTAGTAGTAGTAGCAATAACAATAATCACATTAATAGTAATAAGAATATGATTAAATTTTTTTTACATTTTCCCAAAGTAACTTTATTACAATGGAATTAAAAATGCAGACATGAGAATCCTTGACTTAAAACTAGGCCCATCAAAAATGAGTAAGAAAATGTTACGTGAGAATTTTGACAATATAATGTGTACAATGAACAGTTGATACATTGATCAAGTTAACTGTATATATGTGTGTTTATTTAAATATGCATCTATCAATGTTCAGTAACCATTTTAAGGCACAAAATAAGAAAAAGCAATGTACAAATCACATAAACATGGAAAGTAATGGATTTACGTAAGCCATTGGGCGCACATCTGGATGAGCTACTGCCGTAAAGCTGGTAAACATTGGAGACATTTCACCGGGTTTATTACTACCTATCAATGTAATAAAAGCTCCTCGATTATGCATTGTGTCACAGTAATTAGGAGCTGAGAAAACAGTAATACAGCGACCGTTGTGAGCAACTTCGTAACCTTCATCTTTCACCTAAAAAAACAATACAAAAATTTCTTGGAAGACTCAGAACACAGAATGAAGATCTCGGTTTATGAACGTAATAAGGTCTAAACTGAAATCATAACATAATATAAATCAAGTACTGTACACATTAATACCAGCGAAAACAGCAACTATTTCCACTAACTGTTAGATGAATATAACTGTCAGAATCAACCAGTTTGAAAGAAAGGCATGCGGTGTAAATAAATATCATTACTTTTAAATATTATCGAACAAATTGTATAAAAATAAGATTATTGGGAAATTGCTAATCGATTCTTACAAATGGACAAAACAGACAACACAAACCAATGTAGAGCCTACACCAAAAAATGATGGTTGCTCTATTTCATAACTTCCAGATATCGTACACGATTATCATGATTGATTTCGCATAATACCCAATTGGAAATCTATGCGGTAAATTCCCTGCTAAAATCTAGCTATCTAGCGACATGAACCTCAAAATTACACCTACAAATATAACATGTAAACATTTCTGACGAAAATCCGGATTTCGTAACAGTGTCTGCAGCTTTAGGAAGCTAAATCATGTTCAAAGTTTAAACATGAACGACTCCCAGGTTAATAACTCAAGATCGACTGAAGAAATTGAAGCCAGTCTGACAGTCAAAATTAAAACAAACTTGACATTTAACAGCCAAACTAGTCTTACGACGGCACCAATGGTAGTCAAGATTGATATGATCCACTTTGGCTTCCACTATACTTAAATTACTCTTATTAATCACAGCACCATCATCGCTCACACAGCCACCCGGATACAGAAACTTTTCGACTTCTAACGGCAATATACCAATAGTGAGCGCAGGCGCAGCCTGCTACAAGTCTAGCAAATGTCCTTTACATTTAGTACTTGCCAAATACATACCATACTTACGAATATTGTTTACCAACAACATCGATTAGACTGTTCTGTCCCCCATGGTTGATGACTGACTTTCCTAATGGAAGGTCCTAAAAGATCTTTGGTGGGGCAGCACACCAGCTGAACTATCCCTCAAATAAATCTATCAATCGAATATGTTAAGAAAAGTCAGGTAGTGAGAGTGTCCGAACATCCTTGAATGAAGCGACAGCCCCTTTTATTTTTAAAATGGACCGACATCATTCAAGTAACAACTATCGAGGGACAAGTTTACTTCATACTGCATCCAAACTATTGGTTTTTGTCATACTTGACTGACTTTTCAAAATCCGTGAAATATTTTCTCGCGATTAGTAGGTCAGCCTTTGTTATGATCATCGGTGTGTTGATTATACCTTTACCCACCACCAAATTTCAGAACACCGCCACACCTACTGGAGGCCAATGATAATTGTGTTTATTGATATTAGGACCGACTTCAATCCGCAAAACAGAATTGTAAACTATGGGATTATTTATTGAAGGAAGGTGTGTGTGAGAAGTTTATTGATATATTGAAAGCTCTGAATACAAACAACTCAGGGAGAGTGTGATCATAAAACCGCCTCCTCCTATTGTTTTATTTCAGTAATTTTATTTATTTATTTGAACACAAATATTGGTACAAAGGGGCACCAAATACATATGCACACAAGACACTTGATTTGCGTGTGGGCTGTGATACTGCCCAGGTGCTCAAACCAAAGCAGGTGGTCTTCTTGCGGAGTCACACCCAGAGCATTCGACACAAAGGTCTGATCCACAAGGCAGTGGAGCAACGTAAGGAGATGCAGTCCCATAGTGGCCGGTTACCAAGAGTAGGTTCATACGCCTTTTGTTCCTTCAGGATCATGGAGCCAATGTGCACCATTAGTTTAGAATCACGGTTTTACAACTCCCCTATGTAGATCCTTTATACACACCGACCCTGTTGAAGTGCTGGACATTCGCTTTTCATGGTCTTAATTTCGTAAACAACACCCCCATAGCGAGAAAGCAATGAGTAGGATCTCTATGATAGTGGTTGTATATACACGGTCATGTGACACCATACTCTCCACACCCTTGACCGTACCAGGGCACTTGGGGTATCGCACGGGGTTCGAACCCAGGACCTTCGGTCTCGCGCACGAACGCCTCCAGTAATGGTGTCTATCATTGAAAGGTGTACCTCAGAAGTATATAATCCATGTGAAGGCTCTTTACTGAAACACTACCGGTCGAGTTAGAGCCTATAGAGAACTGTCATCTGATCTTGCAACCTTAAGTGATGTATGACAAGGCTGTCCACTATCTCCATTTTTGTTCACTTTCGTCATAGACCTACCGTTAGAAATAACGTTCACGTCGACTGAATTTCCAGGAATTGATCTCCTTCCGGGAGGTCCACACAGATGACATAGTTCTGTTTGATGAAGACGCTGATAAAATGCAGTGTTTTAGTAGCATTGAACAACAATGCCATGAAGTTTGGAATGCGTTTTTCTCCCTCTAAATGAAAGTTGTTGCTTCAGGACTGGTCTGCGTCAACACCTGAACTAAAGATAGGGAATGAAGTAGTCGACCGCATCAACAACTTCATTAATCTTGGGAGTTTGATCAGCCCTAATGAATTGGTGTCTGACAAAATTTCTTGTGCGGATTCAAAAGGCTCGTTTGGCTTTTACTAACTTACGTTACCTATGGCGAGAAAGAGATATTCGTTTATCAATCTATATATACTGCGCAGACGTTCTCTCTATTTTACCTTACAGCTGCGAAACGTGGCCATTAAGGGTAGAGGATACTTGTAAGTTGCTAGTATTTGATCACAAATGTCTCAGAAATATTGCCAGCATCTGCTGGGATCACTGGATAAGTAATAGTGAGGTCAGACGCAGAGTATTACGGAATGATGGTAAATCAGTTGATGAGGTTGTGAGTCTTCGTTAACTGAGATGGTTGGACCACGCATTACGCATGCCCAACCACCGATTACCATGACGCGCAATGCTGACTAGTGTTAAAGACGGATGGAAGAAAGTTGGGAGCGACCAAACAAAAGCATGGCATCAGTCCATAAAGTTATTAACTTCTGGTCTGAGTCATGTTGGTATAGATGCTGACTAAGTGGTTGGGGTTCGCGCGACTGTCCCCAAATGCCCTGGTATGGCCGAGAGTGGGGAGAGTCCGCTCTCCCTCTCGAAATGCTCTCATATGGCCACGCGTATATAGCCTCTGCCAGGGAAGTCCTACTCACGGCTTTCTCGTGGCGGGGGTGTTATTTACGAAAATGAGAGGACGAAAAGAGAAGGTCCAGCGCTTTAACCGGATTCCAAACCAATGGTGCACATGGGCTCCAGTATCCTGAGGGAACAGATGGCGTATGAACCAATTGTTGGTCACCGGCTACCATGGGACTGCATCTCCTCACGATGCTCCACTGCCTTGTGGGTCAGACCTTTAGGTCAAAGGCTTGGTGTGTGGCCCCCTAACAAAACCACCTGCTTCGGTTTGGGCACCCGGGCAGTATCACAGCCCTCACACAAATCGAATGATTTATGTAGCGCATATCTATTTGTTGCCTCCTTGTACCAATGTTTACGTGTTTAAATAAAATAATAGTGACTAGAAACTCTGGGTGACATGGTTCAGAACCGATCACAATGAAGTAGGTGTATACACTTTTTGTCTTCTCATAAACGATGAGTTTAAAATTACTTTAGACCTTTCTACGAACTAATTCTTCCTTCCTGTATTATATCCTTATACACAATCTTTCTTTTATATATTACTACCATTGAAGTAACTACTTCTATGAAATTGGTGTTCATCTTGATGTGTCAATGAGGTGTGGCAACTTGAACCGTTGCATATATGTGCCTGGTCCAACGTTATAGCTGACTGAATGGGGTTAGTCACGGTTTCCCAGTTTCATTCTTCTTCTTTAACTGTACCATCGATGATATACTGGGAACATCCCTGATGCAAGTAGATAGTAGTGATGTCAATTTATCACATGGAAAAAGGCTTTCTGATCTTTAGTATGCGGATAATTTACTTGACTGTGGGATGATAATCAAGATATGCAGTTCATAAGTAATGAGCTGACAACTAATATCCATCAGTATAGCATGTACTTGCAGTCTTAATGTAAAGGACTTTTGCAAGACTAGTTGACACTTGTGTCTGCAACCATTCTTGGCGGTGAGACGAAGTAGTAGGTTGAAACATTACCAAAAATAGCTCAGAATAGAAACATATGACAGTCCATATGTAGTTCTCTTTTACCTTTTTATAGGAAACATTATAGGAATATCTTCAACTGAAAGAACTTTTCTTGGCTGTATTTTCTTAACTAAACTGCTCCTCTCAAGATACACTACCCTCATCGTCTACTGAAATACGAAACAACAACTGTCTATTCCAATTTTCAAAGTTAGTCCTACACCACCAACAAGATCACAAGTTTGCTGTTAAAACTCACCCAGTCAGTTATCATCAATGTACAGTCTGGCACAGATATATTTTGACCTAATTTGTCATACAGCATTAGTAAGACGAGTTGAAATTAACAAGATGCATAGCAGAGGAGACCATAGTAAAGTAGTAGCAATGACAAGGAAAATGACTCAGCACTGAGAATAGGGTTCGAAGAGGCAGAATGGAGAATTACATATGAACGGAAACTGGAATTCAAAAATTGAGTGCAACTGCACCACTGATTGCAGTTATCACACAGAGCTTAATCAGGTAGTCGGCATCTACTAACATGGCGCAAACGAACAGTTAATGGCCTCAAAGAATGATATAGTACGGCAACCCCTAGCTTTTCTGCAAACTACACCTACACCAACGAACAATGGGGATTTCTAGATACACGAAGATTAAACTATGTTGGATTGCTATATTTATCAAATGAACGATCACGCTGGGATCTAGAGAGAGAAGAGATTGGACTTTTAATTTTATAGTAAATCAAGCAACTTTAGGGTATTTTGAAAACAGAACACTTGATGATCAATGCACTTACTTCATGACTTCTAATAATATAGTCTAGACCATTTTGCTTACAGAACTTTTCAGTGACATCAGGACCAAATTGACAACCGACTCCACGTTTAGAATGGGCTCGACCTTCAGCTTCCATTGGATCAGACCATAGCAATTCACACATTATAGTGCCTTCGTCAGGTTGACGATTTCGAGACACCTTTTTTATTTCATCTAATGTAACATTATCGCGTTCGAACAATCCACCATGCATAACCTAATTAAATGTGTTAACATTGTAAATAAAGTAGAAGAGAATATTGTGAGATAAACTTCTCTGATTAATTTTAACAGCTAGAAATAAATAGGCAGTAAGAACATGGAAAATCACAGAACTAATAGATAATCGCGATCTATCAGAAAATACCATTTGTGTAATAAACTTGGGGTGATAGATTGGCTAAACATCAACCAATAAAAGTATAAGCATCAAACCTTTGGTTTTGAAGAAAACTAGAACTAAAATTAAGTAGTCCGGTAAAGCTTAGTGACTAAAAAGATTAGTTTCCAACTGACGGGCTATAGATTCGAACTTCACTCTATTTGCCTATGAGTGGGTAGCTAGCTGGATAGTATTACCGAACTTTAACCAATCAATGTGGTTTAAGGCTGAATACAGAAAAATGTACTTCACAAATGGGTAACGCTGTAGCCCAATATGAAAAGTTGCACAGCTAAATAATTTTTGGTCCTAGACAGAATTATTAATTACCACGAATTACCACAAACAGCTACTTCCTTGAAACATAAAATTTGTGGTTACACTTAACAAATTAATATAGTAATAAGATAAACGAATAGGAAAAGAACCACTCATATAATATGTTTTTAAAATAAGCTTATTTAGTTTTGTTAATGTAACACGTAGAGCGATTGATATTTGCTTTAATTATGATTCAGTGGATTACGTATATCTTATGCTATCAAACTGTACACTCATCCTCCTACAACCAGAACTTTGTGGCAAAGCGATATTTGATCAAAGCCAACATACCATGATCTAGCTCTAACACTATTATAAACAGAATTTTGTTGTAAGATGATTCACTACCATGAGCAACTACAAGCGCAAACTACTCTCAGTCTTCGTATTACAGAAACACACACCAATATTCGGCGGATAAAAACAATGTTACAGAGATAAGTTTAGAGAAGAAAAGTTATTTTTTGTTATATTTTCTGTTATACTTTTGATTGCTGGACTCTGTTTTCGACCATGTGGTTAAAACGGTCATTCAAACATTCATTCAAATTAAACGAACAAATAAGCAAGAACTCACAGACAATCATTTGAACATGGAAAAATGACTTATGTAAATCGCTTACCAGAATTCTTTCATTAATCAGATGGCATAAAGGTAACCAGTTGAATATATCCGTGAACATATTGGCCACTTCAGAAGAATATTTTGACTTTACCTCACCTTCAAAGCCATAAAGTCTGTTCATGTGTTCGGATTCATGATTACCTATGGGGACAATTAAACATATACATAAGTATATGAAGCCGAAAATTATAAGAGCATAGAATATCTGATTTACTACCAACTGCTCACCTCTGGAAAGATAAAACTTGTCTGGATAAAGAAGCTTAAACCCGAACAAGGTGAAAATACACTCCACGGAAAACGATCCCCGATCAACAAAGTCACCATTGAACAACTAGAGAAACAAATCCTAAAAGTAATATTGCTTACGTAAGGATTATCTTTGCTCGGAAGCCCGTTAATTTTGAATATGTTCATAAGATCGTAGAACTGACCGTGTATATCCCCACAAACAGTAAACTTAGACTGTTCCGGGACTTTAATATCTACCAAACTTGGTAAACCGCGAAGAAATAAGAAAATATCTTTCATTATCTACAAATAAACAAAAATATTGTGTTAAACATATTGCAATACACAGCAAACGCTATCATATTAGAAATAGACGCAACTCATACTCAATAACAATGAGAATTTTTTACCTAATTTTGGAGCTAGTTAGGAAGGGGAGTAAGTAGTGAAGGAAGGATGAATCTAATTCGGTGACTTTCGGTCCTTTTATCAAAACAAAGTAATTAGTAAAGCGCAAGGTCAACTGAAAGCGGAAAATTGCTCACACTGGGACTTTAGATACCTTGATATTGACATTATAATAGATCAGTGTTTAAGCAATAAAATGCTATACATAAATGATTTCAGTCTCTCAGTCACGTGATTTAGAACATAGAATCTAGGTTTATCGACTTCATACTAGCACGGCAGTAAAGAGTCAACCAGATTAAAGCAAAATCACGATAATGATACCAAAGACATTAGTAAACTATGAAAAGAGAATATGGTTCATAAGAAGAGAATGGAATTAAAGGATGTTTAATTATTTACAAACAATTATTGTGATAAACTCAACGCAAAGGAAAAAAGTGACGGGACATGACAATTAGAAACTGTTATGGAGAGAATGTTGTAACTTCCGAACTAATCTAGAAATATTAATATCATCTGCATCTTTATTATATAATTATTAAACAACTGTATGATTGTATTTCTATATTCTCCTTATTTTAAACTTCCAGTAAACTCATAAAATATTGCTGTACGTTTTACCATTTCTTAATAATAGTTAAACAACCATTTACCTCTATCTTCCGTTTCCTACTTTGACGTAGTTAAACCTAGATTGTAATTTCGTATTCATATTGATGTATGATCAGTAAATTAATCTGTTATTGTATATTGATTCGCCCCCAAATGCCCTGGTATGGCCGAGAGTGGGGAGAGTCCGCTCTCCCTCTCGAAATGCTCTCATATGGCCACGCGTATATAGCCTCTGCCAGGGAAGTCCTACTCACGGCCTTCTCGTGGCGGGGGTGTTATTTACGAAAATGAGAGGACGAAAAGAGAAGGTCCAGCGCTTTAACCGGATTCCAAACCAATGGTGCACATGGGCTCCAGTATCCTGAGGGAACAGATGGCGTATGAACCAATTGTTGGTCACCGGCTACCATGGGACTGCATCTCCTCACGATGCTCCACTGCCTTGTGGGTCAGACCTTTAGGTCAAAGGCTCGGTGTGTGGCCCCCTAACAAAACCACCTGCTTCGGTTTGGGCACCCGGGCAGTATCACAGCCCTTACACAAATCGAATGATTTATGTAGCGCATATCTATTTGTTGCCTCCTTGTACCAATGTTTACGTGTTTAAATAAATAAATAAAGTATATTGATTAACATAATATATATTACTGCACTGTCGCTTGTTGTGCACTATTATATCACCGAGAAATGAAACTAAAAAATGGATATTTTGTGGACCAATAAGGGTTGCTTCACTGCCCTGTGGATTAGACCCTTAGGTCAAAGACTTTAGGTGACAACATAAGAAAACTATCTGCTTCGGCTTGGGGACGCGGACAGTATCATAGCCCCCATACAAAACAATAATAACAACTGCTGAAAAGATTTTAATGCTCGCTAAGAAAAATCTTATTTACAATCATAAGATAACATTCGTTTATATTTCTTTCATGCTACGACACTTATGCATTCCTCTTTATTATTAGTTTGCGTATCTTATTTTATTTTTTATTTCTCAACATCACAGCAGCTTACCTATGGCGAAAACCATGTCATATCTAAACGATCTCGAGTCACTGACTGGTCGAAAGTAGAATGCTATCACCGACTATGAATCCTGGAGCAGTCTTTCTAAAACCACATACATCATTCAAAACTGGTCTCTTTCAACATTCGCACATTAACCCAGATCAGGCAACAGATAAGGGGAGTATTTCTTTAGAAAGTCTCAGCATCGATGTCTTTTGTCCGTCCGAGAATCATATTCAAGAACCTAGTGAAGTGCTACGAATTCGCTCTCCATCTGTCGCTTCAAAAAGCTTGACTCACGTACGTTTATCTGGGGACCCTGTGGCATCTTTGTCTGGTTTTCCTAGCATTGATGTTGCACTAAGCACAAGAGCTGAGGCAGCAGTGACCGATTGGATCTCCATCAACAGTCTGTTATGTGCTGTTACGTTAGAAAGCTACATCAAATTGCGAAAAGAATCGGTGTGGAAAAAAGATATCTTTTCGCCATCTACACCTTTGCTCTGACAGATTGCAGCCCGGATGAGATCAAGGATGAGTTCTACCACCAGTTAACAGTTCTACAGAAAGTGTGTACGACAGATATTGTAGAACTAGCCGGAGACTTGAATGCTTAGGTCAGGTATCTAGGTACAAAAGAGAATAGTTTAGGTGGCCGATAAGGACTTGTTTGTCACAGGTTGGATAACGGTGACCACCTACCAAAACTTTGTGCAGACCACAACCTGTTTCCGGATCGCACTACCTACCACTACAGTCATCGCCCATGCGTCACCTGACGTCCTCTTTCTGCATCTCAAACCTGGACTCAGATTGATCACATGTAGATCACCTACCACTGGCGTGGTTGTGCACAAGACTGCCACTCCTTGTGGAGTATCTATCTGGACTCTGATCATGCCCTTGTTTACGTCAATTTTATCTTACGTTTTAGCGGCCAACAAATTTATCGTCCCAAACGGATCGATATCAGCAAATTGGTTGCAGCTTCTATTGCAAATAAATGTCAAAGCTAACTGGGTTCAAGGCTAGCTACCATCCACCGAAAAGTATAGATGAGCGTTGATTGCACTTGCATGACACCATGAAAATGGCGAGTAAAGTTGCATGCGGCTCAGCGAAACGTTCCACTTTTAGGCACAGGGTTTCTACAGGATCATTACGAATCATTTTGAAGCACGTCCGTCATGCTTCGTAGATTGTTCAAAATCCAAGAAAGATTGTTTCGAGAGGTGCAGGTTGGTTCACTGGTATTGTCTATTGAAGTAGGATGTACCTGAGAAGTTTATTAATATCTTAAAAGCCCTATATACAAATACCCCAGGCAGAATAAGGGCATGTGTGGCGCATATATATTGGCGCTCTCTTGTACCAATATTTATGTGTTTAAATAAATAAATAGAATAAGGGCATACAGCCATCTCTCTCCACTGTTTCATTCAAGCAGTGGGGTTGCTCAATCTCACCATTGCTCTTCAACTTTGCCATTGATGACGTTCTGCGAATAGCTCTGACAGATGTAGGTAATGATGATGCAGATCTGTTGCCTGGAGAAAGACGTTTCGACATTGACTATGCGGATGATACTATTTTACTGTGTGATGATACCCAAGCCATGCGATCCGCACTTAATCAGTTGGCAATCAGTATCCGTATTATTATTATTATTTATTATTTGAACACATAAATATTGGTACAAGAGAGCGCCAATATATATGCGCCACACAAAACAATGAAAATTCGAAGAGAGACAGAAAACAAAAAAAACTAAGGAGCACAAAATAAAAAGAGAACGATAACGAAGAGATTGGTGTAAGGTAGTGTGGTCGTAACGATGGAACGGAAAGGTACAATCAGAAGAAATCTTTCAAGTAAGGGAGACACAACCACTTTTTATGAAGAAAGTAAAAGAAGGTTACAGCAGGATCGCCACTGGCTTCTATTCTGAGCCATATCTGATAACGTCTCTAGCCACTGTGTAGCACCATCTCTCAGACCCCAACCAGGGAGTCGTGACGGACCGACAGAAGCCAGTCCTTTGCAGCTTTCTTTCATACCACGACACCATGTCATGCACTGACCACCTCTCCGCCTTTTCCAACCAGTCCCAGAGTCGGCAAATAATGCACGACGTGGAATTCTCTGGGACGATATTCGTAGAACATGTCCAAGCCACCGAAGTCGGTGTTTCAAGATGGTGACACCAATTGAATTATCATCTCTGTGCCCAAACACACGATGCCGAACCTCTGCATTACTGACATGGTGTTGCCACTGAATGTCAGCAATCCTTCGGAGACAGAGAGTCGTCTAACATCCACAACTCGGAGAGGCCAGGTTTCACAAGCATAGAGCAAAACTGCTCTCACCGACGCGTTGTAGATCCGACCTTTTACAGCCAGACTAACATCACGAAGACGCCAAAGGTGACCCAGATTGGCATAAGCCGCTCTGGCTTTCACTATACGTGCATTGATCTCATCACTCACACCCCCACCAGCACTTATGCAGCTACCCAGATACACGAACTTCTCGACTACGTCTATCTGCTCACCATCCAGGGTGAGTACAGGATTGGAATCCTGCCAGTCTTGTAGGAGTACTTTTCACTTCGAAGGTGCAAAACACATACCATACCTACGGACACTGATTGCCAACTGATTAAGTGCAGATTGCATGCCTTGGGCATTATCGCACAGTAAGACAATATCGTCCGCATACTCAAGGTCAAGAAGTCTTTCTCCAGGCAACAGATCCACACCACCATTACTTACATTCATCAGAGCTGTTTCCAGAATGTCATCGATGGTAAAGTTGAAGAGGAATGGTGAGATTGGGCAACCCTGCCTAACCCCACTGCTCGAATGGAACAATGGAGAGGTAGTTGTATGCCCTCACTCTGCCTGAGGTGTTTTTATATAGGGCTTTTAAGATGTTAATAAACTTCTCAGGCACACCCTTCTTCAATAGACAATCCCAGAGAACAGTCCTGTCCAACGAATCGAAGGCAGTCCTGATGTCAAGAAACACTACAATTGTTGGCCTTTGATAAGTATGGCGATGTTCTAACATTTGGCGGAGGGTGAAGATATGATCAATACATCCTCGACCAGAACGAAACCCAGCCTGCTCCTCGCGAGTCAATCTTTCTCGGGTTTTGAACAACCTACGAAGTATGACGGAAGCCAATAGCTTGGACGCAATCGGAAGTAGACTTATCCCCCGATAGTTGTTGCAGGAACGACGTGAACCCTTTTTAAAGATAGGGACAACTATCGACGCATTCCATGACGTTGGTACACTCTCTAGCTCCAACACCTTTGTAAACAACGTTGTCAATTCCTTAGTTAAAAAGTCACCACCATCTTTAAAAAGAGCCGGAGGTAAGTCATCAGGGCCAGGTGATTTGTAACGCTTCAAGAGTTGGAGTTCCTTGTGAACTTCCTCCTCGTTTGGTGGATCAGTCGTCACCGGCCATGGAGGGCAGGACAGTCCGTAGGTAAGGTATGTGCTTTGCACCTTCGAAATGCAAAGTACTTTCACAAAACTGGTAGGACCATAATCCTGCACTCACCCTGGATAGTGAGCGGATACAAGTAGTTGAGAAGTCCTTGTATCTAGGTAGCTGAGTACGTGCTGTTGATAGTGTGAATGATGAAATAAATTCACGTATAATGAAAGCCAGAGAAGTTTGTGCCAATCTGGGCCATCTTCAGCGCCTTCGTGATGTTAGTCCGGCTGTAAAAGGTCGGATCTACAACGCGTCGGTAAGAGCAGTTTTGCTCTATGCTTGTGAAACCTGACCTCTCCGAGTTGAGGATGTTGGACGACTGTGTGTCTGGTCATCGTTATCTCCTAAGGGTTGCTCACATCTAGTGGCAACATTATGTTATTAATACAGAAGTTCGACATCGTGTGTTCGGGCACAGCGGCGATAATTCAATTAGTGTCACTATCTTGAAAAATCGACTTCAGTGGCTTGGATATGTATTTTATGAATGTCGCCCCAGAGAATTCCACGTTATGCATTATTTGCTGACGCTAGGACCGATTGAAAAAAGCGGAGAGGTGGTAGGGGAACATTACGAGACTTATTAGTGAATAGATCTTCTGGATATCAATCGACTTGCATTCATAACAAAAGCCACAATTTTAACTGAGATCCAACTTAAATATAATTTAAAATTCACTCAGGAAAGTATAAATATCCAGTTAAGCTAGCGCATTTTTGTGGAAAATGATAAAGTTGTGAGTTGTTTGATTCAAATCATAGTAACTTGGCAATTACTTTATTTAGAATATGGAATGGGCATATCGCTGTTAAACTGCTAAGTTGGACAAAAATGTCAACTTACTATAATGGCATATTTCTTGTGTAATACTTTCTGAGATTTGTAGTGCTCCATTAAAGCCAACATAAACGACTCCGTGACAAAGTATTTTCCATTGCTATCTTGTTCTAAGTGCGGACCATCGTAACTAGATTCTACGGTAATTGTTGACAGATCAAAAGATTCTAATGGGGACGGCTGATCTTCTACTGCGATGGCTTTTTCAAATGCTTTGCGACGAATTATTTTTCGGCATTCAGTCAACTTCTCACGAGCCATTTTGTCACTAGGTGCAACTCGAATAACCTAGTTGAGATGAAACCTCATATTAGCAGATAATAGTAAAGTGGACATTTTTAATAACTCGACACATAAACACCAGATGTTATTGGTTTTCAAAGCTAAACCAGGTGGAAATTGAAACTTCATAATTTGAATTAAATGAATTAAGTAAATCGCTATTTTACTGAGGTTAAATTGCTTTGAAAGTGGCTTGTCACAAACAATTACAGCAAAAGTACGATTATATCCTTACAAAATAAGTTTCATAAGTCACGATGTAAATGATTTATGTACGTAATGGTATTTCCCTATGCTATTTAAACAGACATAAAATATATTGTAAATCAGACTACGGTAATAGTTCATAAATTATGTCATTAAATTTATATTCAACATGGAAATAATCAGTGACAAAATACTTTATCAGTGTGCAGTGCAGCAGTTTATCCCATGTTATAAGATATCCATACAAGATCCACGTGATCACATATCTTGAAAATCCAAACAAAAGAAATACCAATGTGGACAGAAAATTCTCCGCTTAGTTTAAAATCTCCACTTGCAAAACCTTGGTATGAGGATGAATCTACGTCATTTTATCCAACCAATTTATACTACCTTTATAGGAACCAACTACAGGAGTTATCCGCTGCAACATAAAGGATACATCAAATTATGTAACTAACGTGAAGACTAATGCAGTAGAACAAAGTATTGACAAGATATCCGAAACACTTCGAAGTTTAGTGACAAAGGAACGCCTTTATTTTTACCTTACCGTTGCTGCTTCAAGCTAAGACATGAATAGATATGACGCGTACCAAAAAGGATATTAATGTCAGAACTTTGGTGACTTTGTCAAGGATCATTGAGAGATACTGAGCCACAAGCAGAATTCTATGTTTTAAACATCTTCAAAATTTTTATATCCCTTCACATCACTAAACCGAAGAAACTAAATAGTGATACATTGAATACTGAGAGATAGCTAAGAGTTCGACAGATATTTTTTTGTAAACTGGGTGAGAACTTAGAAAGTATAGTAAGAAATTTCGCAGGTTAGAAATTGGCTGTATAATAGTAGAGAAGATCCTTGCACTACCTTCCAGGACTTATTGTAGAAAGAAGAGGTTGCTAAATTCAATCGAAAATATAAAAACAAAACACAAACAAGGCCCTTTGAGATGAGTAGCACACAGGTTGGTTTTGTCTTTAAATTTTGGAAGATTCTGTATGGAATGCCACATCAAATGTTGATGATTTAAAGACTTAATTAAGCAAACAATTGAGATTTTCAGAATACGTGTGATATCAGACAAAATGTGTGGAGTGACATTATACGTATTGGTGAATCTTCCATCATTGCTATACTTAGTGTTTAGTTCAACTCATTCGGTATTAAACGGCAAAGCTTAAATACATCACTGTTAAATGTCCAGATATCATGGTAATAAGAAAACTTATGTACTTACAGTTTCGTAGTCTGCCAATGCCTCCTTATACTGACCTAGTGCCATATGTGCAGATGCCCTGCGATAATAACCCTGGACAAATAAAAAGATTAAATTGACAAACCTTCACATAAGAACTATCCAAAGATATAGCTCTAGAAGCATCATCCAAGGCATAGCCAAAACACTCTGTACGAAGATAAGCGAGGCTCCTGTTGGCCAAATAAACAGCAGTCTCCCGAATTTCTATCGCCTTCGTGTATGCATCGATGGCTTTTTCATAGTCCCCATCTATTAGTCGAAAAATACCGTTAAACACGTGTCCATATTTGTGTGTGTGAGGTCTGTTTATGCATTACCTTTGAAAAATTTGTTAGCTTCTTCTTTTAGTGCTTCTGCTTCATCCGAAATAGTCGATAACGTCATTCTCTAATTCACGTGTGCGCCGTTCAGAAAAAGTTTGGACAGACGGGCTCACAATTAAATTGTTCAAATGTTGGGTTGCTAAAAATTGTAGTAAGAAGTTCAGTTTTCAGTCTTCAGAAATAAGGATGGTAGATTAGTGAACGCGTTTTAAACCTGTCAGATTGCTTGCCAGTGAACGTTCAGCTTCTTCTTGAAAATATTCACTGATGGGGCTGATACCACTTGTTCGGGTAAGTCGTCCCAGTTATTGACAACTCGGTGAGAAAAACGGGGTCTCACTTCAAGTTTATTAGATCGCGGTTTGTTAACCTTCTTGCTATGACCCCGTAGATTATTAGTGCTGGAGGGAGTGTAGGGGCATTACTTAGAAGCAAGAGTAACCCAGGCGAGTTTCATAATTTCATTAGATTGTTTCGTACTATATTTATGATGCGTGATAACATTTTGTAGTTGCCTTCACGCAAAGTAGGCATATATTCCGTCACTGCCGTCAAGTTTTAGTCAAAATAATGTACATTTATGACTCGTTAGTCGACATACTGTGGCAAAACATATTGCATGTACACGAGCATTCATAGTCCATGTCCTGAGTAGACACTTTGTCGTACGTAATATGTCACTTAACTCTAAGTAATAAGCTCTTTGTATCAGCCTTTTACGACATGGCCACGTTATTTGAACCCTTCAAACTTTAGTTACACTGGTGGTTACCATTTTAATTAGTGATTACTATACTCCTTGTATTTGCTATCATGGCTCGATTTCCTTATTACATGACAGTCATTTTAATCCCATTTTCGGTTATTTATATACAATACGGGTTTGTAAAATATCTAAACGTCCTCGAAAATTCTTCTTTATATGTTTTTATTCACACATCCAACTGTTATGCTAATAATACCTAAACGAACGTTCAGTGCAACTGTCCATATACCTAAGAATGATGTTAATTAGATTTGACTTTATAACACATCCGAACTATTGTAGTTATTCTACTTCAATGTCGTACTTTGTTTTATGAAGTATTGTTTCCTCGTGGCTGTTATCTAACAGATGATTTCGGTACATCAATCGGCTGTTCAACTACTCGACGATTTACAACCTGTACAGTTCAATCGGTGGTCTGACGATATTATCATTCGCGCGAATCATCAGTTTATGCAGTCGATCGAATCTCCTGCAAACTGAAAACGACATTATCGCCTCTATCCCAACACTGACAGCGTTTTTCACTGTTATCATTGACATGAGTCCAGAGCTACACTCTTGGTTTCTTATGTTCTTTTCGATATTTTTCTGTTCACTAACCGAGCAAACACGCAGCACTCACCGTCTATCATCTTTTAGAGACTTCACCGTGCCACCTTTGCTGTCAATTTGCAGATTTCGACCCTTACTGACTGTAACAGCAGTCATCGACTTTTCTAACTCTGACAACGAGTTGATTAATAGCTTCACACAACGAAATCATGACCACTCTTCATGGTTATACTTCTATACTTGCGGTTAGTCTGCTAAATATAGATATAACTAGAAGCTGTCAACGACACTGTCTGACATTCAACTTTAAATCAATGGCAGTATGGAAATCGGCATCAACTGATAATACACTTATCCTACTATCGCTATAGCACCATTAGTCTTGCGGCAAACTGAACGTTTCTCATCTAAGGAACTGAATTACTTGTTAAAGCTATATATTTCAGCACGGGTCGATAGAACAATAAAACGTTTTGTTCTTTTCTTTATTTCTATGGTTAATCGTTTTACGTTTAACTAACATCGTACTAACATATTATTACTCGCTGTTTTCCCGACCAGGTTCTGCCTCCTACTTTCCATTTTGCTTAACAGCTCGGCAATACCCGAAGAATTCATATTATTCGTTTGGCAATCTTCGGTGCGTAACTACTCCCAACGTGTTTGGTACCGATTCAAACGATCGTTGAATCTGGTGGGGGAGTAATGTAGGGCCAGCGAAATATCACTAAGCCCTAGCCAAATCACCCGACAGTTGGGTCATTGAGTGTCGAACAAGTATTCGATCCTCGTCAAGGTCAAGGACAACCAGCACGCATCAGTTAATCGTAGGCCATGGACTGGCCCATGCGGCAGTGGTTTCACTTTCGTTTGTATCTACTTTCACTAATATATTTCTGTAATAACGTCCGCTGTGTTGTACAGTCTTCAAAGCATCTATGGTACCTTGGTACGTCAATGGGGTTGTCCACATAAGGTGCTGACCACGAGGTGTGTCTTCGACGTCAGCTAGTTTGTCACACCATTCACGCCTAACTCGAGTAGGCCTCCAATCCTTCTCGACATAGATCATATACGTCGGTGATCTACAGGAGCAAAAAGATAAGACACATTAACGCCCAAACCATAATTAAAGATACGAAATACCAGTATAAGGTCATTGTCTAGGGCTCCTGTCCAACCATCTTTGGCAATAATTAAGTTAGTCAAGCATGAATGCTTGTTACGAGACTCATGTTGCTCAGAAGTTAACAAACTGTGCAAATCTATGTGACTTAGTAACTCAACTGTTGTGTTTGAATGAACTAATGATTCCTTTGTACTTGTTGAATGATTGAATTCGAATTCCGAATACAGCACATTCGTTCATCCTTATCGAGTACTTCTCGATCCAATTGAGTTATTTCGAGGATTAGTAATTTGTAATCCTAATCATCATACTGGCGTCGGGAAGGAGACCGCGATGGAATATTTAGGTATTCGTTCAACTTCTGAAGATTTTATAACCGTACACAAATCCCAAAAATAAGTAGCTCTGTAAGTTTTCGACATTGGATGCCGACCACATGTTTTAATGGACTCACCTAGCTGAAGGCGCTCAGTCATGCATCCGCAACAGATCACGAGTGGGAACGCCATGCTCAACAACTCCTGCAATTGCTAGCCAGATTAGATCAGACGATCCTCGATATATTGGTAGCTTATCAAATATATCTTCGAACCTCTTCACTTCTGTTTTTTGATTTCACTTGGTGGGTACGCTTCATATCGAAGGTGTTACTGGTTAAAGCGTTGTCAAACTTCAAATACCTGTGGCATCTTTATTGGTGAGCCTAACGTGATCTGGTACACCAAATCACAAACTGTGACTCTGTTCCTCTTCGGGATTCCAAATATCATTGCCTTATTTTAATTTTTTATACATTATGATATTTTTTCGTGTTTTTGGATATATATATATATATATATATTTCCCTCGTTCATTCCCATACTTCATATTTCACTGTGACTGAACAGACATTCAAAGTACTTAAGCTTAAACTTTGTCCCCACCTTTGGTTCAGTTGATGCCCTTCTGGCCAGACAACATGGAAGCCTGGTTTTATTACGCAGAAGCCGACTTCTCCGAGCACGGCGTGACCGACACACGTGCACAATTCCTCGAAGTAGTCAAGGCACTACCGCGCGAATTCAACAGGTACGTAACACCTAGTATGTTTACTAGTGATGTATCTGAACCTTACAAAACGCTGAAACGTTCTATTCTTAGACGCAGAGACCTAACCGATCGACAAAGGTTAGACCGACTCCTTAATAACATCGACCTGCAACACGGTTCTGCGACGGACATGTTGCAACGAATGAGAGAGGTTATCGGTCAAAGAACCTTCGATGATGGCCTATTTAAACAACTTTCCTTATCCAGACTTCCTCAACAGATGCAAGCTGTGCTTGTCTCTTTTCGCAACAACGCCTTAGACGAGCTGGCTGCATCTGCCGATAGCATTTTAGAAATCATAAAATCTAACGCCGAGGTTTTTTAGTCAAAGAAAAGCCTCAAACGACCCAGAATGACATAACAGAGTTATGTCATACACTTACGCGTTGTCTTGAATTTCGTAAGAACTGTAAGCAATCACACACCCCGTGTAGAAGCACTTCATGTAAGTGATCTGCCTCTAAACCACGAGAGACTGACAACCCCGACTGGTGCTGGTATCATAATCAGTACGGAAAGTCTTCCAGTAATTGCAGAAAACCCTGAAATTCTCCTAACTCAAAACCGACCGGCACGAAAAACAACTCGGAAAACTTCCAAGCTGTTCCGCGTTAACGGCAACAGTAGCTTGTGAACATAGCCGTCTGTTATACGTCACAGGTGTGACAGCGAGAGTTCGCTACCTCGTCGATACTGGCGTTCTCCCAGCGAGTTCTAACGACCGGCTTCACGAATCACTTTTAAACTTACAGGCGGCAAACGGAAAGCCTATCGCCACATACGGTAAAAAGTACATTTACCTTAACGTGGGTTTACGCAAACCCATTCACTGGACTCTCGTTGTTGCAGATGTTTCTATGCCAATCACTGGTATAGACCTTTTACAACACCATAATCCACTCATCAATACGCGCAAACGGACTCTAATAGACGGAAACACTAATTTATCCGTTTGCATGACTTCTTTTTCTGATTGCAGATTATCTTCAGTCACAATTGAGCATACGATAGACCCATTTTACCAGCCACTACTCGATAAGTATCCTGGGATACACCAAACGCAACCGAAATTGCCGTGTGTAACCAGCAACGTTACACATCACATCACGACTACAGGACCACCCGTATTCTCTAAAGCACGCTGACTAGCCCCCGAAAAGCTAAGGTTGGCGAAAAACGAGTTCGACCACATGATAGACTTAGGTATCATAAGACCGTCAAATAACCCATGGGCATCTCCGTTGCACATGGCCCCTAAAAAGGACTGCAACGATTGGCGTCCAACTGGTGACTATTGGCGATTGAATGCGTAAACCATTCTCGGTCGTTACCCGTTGCCTCACATTCAGGATTTGACAGGTACCTTGAGAGGTACAACTGTCTTTTCGAAAATCGACTTGGTTAAAGCGTATAACCGAATTCCCATGGTCACTGACGACATTCCGAAAACAGCTATCATAACTCCTTTCGGACTTTACGAATTTTCGCGAATGCCTTTCAGTCTAAGGAACACTGCACAACC